GAATGTAATAAGGGGCCAAGACTTTCCATCACCTTAGGGAGAACACAGGAGCCAAGTTGTTCCGTTTTCTTTTTTTTCTTCAGAATTTAACTGCAAGTAATTGTTTGCAATCCAGATTTGATAGAGTTTATACAATTTAAAAGAAGAGATCATTTTTTAATTTCATGGGGCTTAAAAGAAATATAAAGTTGAATATCATCTGGTTAGCAGGTAGCATATACCTTGTACTTATCAATTCCCCCAGAGGCAGCAAATATAAAGCAAAAAGCAATGGGGCCAAAACAGAACCCTGGAGAACCCCACAGGAGAGTACTGTTGATGAGGCATAATTTTGAGCTCTAACTGAAAAAGACCTTTGTGATAAGAAAGAAGAAAACCATTTCAAGGCTGTTCCAGAGATACAACATACTGTCCAGTGATCAACAGTATCAAAAGCAGCGGTAAGATCTAATAGAACCAGAACAGAACATTCCCCTGGATCACCTTGCATTAACAAATCATTAAAAACTCTAAGAAGAACAACAAGCACAGAGCCACACAGACACGGGGCCAGACACTGGGCCAAAATCAACAGGATCTCGATTCCTTTGGAATGATCCAACATGATATTTACATTGGAGGAACACGAAGTAATGCACTTTGTGAACATGATCACAGAGATGAGTAAAGGTTTCAGATTTAGGTTGATTCAGAGCATGTCGCTTTTTCTGAGACAAAGGTTGTGCGGTTGCATACAATGGACGATGTGATTGATGGATAATTTTGGCTGTCTGACTTGGCCACACACCCGAGAGAAACAAACCAGTATGGAGCTGGCCTGAATAAATGATGTGTGAATGTCTAACTTAGTCGACATACGTACAGCACAGACCTCCATGCAGTACCAGAATGGGGAGTAACCAGCGGGTGGGATGGGAGGGCGTACGAATACATTTAAGTGGCAAGGAGGTGTGGGTCACAGGCCAGATTCAAAGACCTATAAAAGGATTGATATCCGGGCAATTCTCTGTTTTCTTTCGATTCAGGAGGGCAGACTGCTTCCTCGTGTTGTCGAGATCTGTCATGGTATTAACATGCCTTCAGGGGCTCCTTCAGATTAACTCCCTGTGAAAACCAAGGATGTCTCTGAACATTTATGTGGGTTTAAAGAAATATTTTACCCAAAAATGAGAATTCCATCATTTAACCTTCCTGTCATCCAAATAAATGACTCATATCCGAAATGACACAAAAAAGACCCATTAAAGTGGTCCAAGTCTTTCAAAGAGCTCTGTACAAATAACAGACAGAAATATAAGTCAGTACTCGCATACTTTCGAGTCAAACCTTTTCATTGAATTGGTTGATACAGTTCACAAAACTAACCGGAATAATTTATTTACAAATAATTTGTTAAAGGGATAGTTAAGGAATAGTCTGTAACACTTTAGTTCATCTTTGAAACAGATTTAATTTAGCCTTTTATTTACATCTAAACAATGACTGACATTCATTCATCATAAAGCACGTCACATATGGTAAACACAGAAACTCAAATGTGCGCATAATGCGCCGAGAACCATTGAAGTTTATTCTAGCTTATGACAGCTTCTGTATTTATCATACGTGATGCTCTGTATGTATGCATGTTTATATGTGAATAAAAGCTTAAATTAAACCTGTTCATCATATAAAGCAATAGTATCTCTTCACAAGACTTGGATTAAACCACTCAGTTCATACGGCTTAATTTTACGATGACTTTATGACTTTTTTGAAAAGATTTGATTATCTGGACTATTAAAGGAGGGACAGAAACATCTTGGGTTTCATTAAAAATATCTTCATTTGTGTTTGAAGATTAAGTCTTATGGGTTTGGATCAACATGAAGCAAGTAAATGGCAACAACATTTTTATTTTTGTGTGAACTAAAAACCATACAATAACTTCAAGTTATTGTATGGTTTCAGAATACTTGGAATACAGATCATAAGTCGTATGAACTACTTTTACAATATTTTATGGTGCTTTTGTGCCATTTTTGAAGTTTAAGAACTTAAGTCCTGCATTAATTATAATGGCATTGAAAAAAGGCACCAGTAATTTTATTTTTTATTTTCTTTTTTTATTCTTGCTCAGATGGGTTTGGAACAACATGAGTGTGAATAAATGACAGAATTTTCATATTAAATTAAGACATTGTGAAACCGATGCAACCAGGAACACTGTAATCTTTGATCTGAGTTTTAGCTTTGGCACTTTATTGGTCAACAGGGTCATTTTGGAGGTTTGGCAGTCTTCCCTGGCCTTCTTCTGTTCCCAGACAGACAGCAAATTGACAAATGAAAAGACTGATAAACAAACATACAGACAGCTTGATAGGACATCTGAACACGCTAAGATCCGCTACAGTGCCCTCGGCTTTGCTGGCCAGACGGTTGTGCCAACCATCTTGGCAGCGCACATTGTATACCACCCACACCGGCAGAACCCTAACCCACAGAGATTAAATCAAAAATGTGGATTCATCACACGCACTGCATGCCACATCAATGTGGCGTAAACTGACAAATTTGAAAGAAAAAAAAGAAGAAATAACAGAGGAGATTTTGGACATGTTCAGTTTTCTTATGCCATCATCTATAGGACTTACGGCAGATGTTGAGCCAAGTTGAGTTTGAAAGGACCTTATTGAGCATATGGTAACATTATATCCCGATGACATACTCTGCAGATGAATACAAACCACTTCTAAAATGTAGGCCAAGAAAAGCATCTCTGTCAGTGTGTGGAGGACTAGGGTGAAGCAGCTGTTGTTGAGTCATCTCTCTCCATTTTTAAATAAAGTTTGTTGTTGGCGCCCTCTGCTGGGTAAGATCTATCTATCTATCTATCTATCTATCTATCTATCTAAAACTAGATTGCAACAAACCACTTGTTCGCTTTTGTCCTTATATATTCTATTACAGAAATAGAAATTTATAGTTTCAGGTGCGACATGAATTGAAAATAATAGTAACTGAAAAACAATCCAACTATGTACCTATAAAACAGTCCTTGTGAGGTTTGGAGATATTGAATTCAAATGACTATAGTTTACCTGCATCTCCTGGAGAAGTCTCACCCTATCACGTTTATGCATGTGCAGACAGAGGATGAATTATTAAGAATGGGAGAATCCTCACAGGTACTGTCCCTGCAGGAGAGAAACCTCTGCTAGATCAATATCTGCTTCACCTAGTGTCTCTTGACAAGCGCTGGGAAATTGCTGCTCTGCAGAATAAAAAAGTCCTCCTAATTTCTCTCTAGGTCAAAGCTATTACTTTTCCAAAATATCACGGGCTCAGCAGGCTCAACCCTATCCAGGATTCTCTGTATCGCCAGTGTAGGAAAATACAATAAAGTTGCAGGTCTAGTCTCGAGTGGACCTTTCCTTCACATTTGCCGCATTTCAAATTTTGACATGGTAACTATGGAAACTCATGAACTGCTGACTACGATAATTTGAGGGGCTAATACTTTCTTCACATTTTCGATTCAGGTTATAGACTGGAAAAGTACAGGTTCATGATATTTCTCACAAACCTATCAGACAGATTATGTAAATTATAGCAGCAACAAAGCATGTACAAAAAGACCCATGCAGGACAAAAATGAATAATATGAAAGGGGGCATATAAAGGCAAAAAGTCTGATCATTACCCAGAAAATATGAGGATAAATGTGAAAGTGCAGACAGTTATGAAAGGTAAAGCCCTGGTTCTATTACCGCTGTACAATAATTAATGTTTTAGACAGTTCTTTTTAGTGCAAACTGATGACTGCCAACACAGCAGCCCAGTCGCTGAATAGCCCAGCATCCAAAGCGGTTTTTCTCTAACATCATTATCCCAGCAAATTGGTGAATCAAGCCTTTAAAACAACACTGTACAAAAGATAAGTTATTTGGGCTGTCTGTCTGTCATAGAGAAATTATAGTGGAAAAAAAAAAAACCCTTCCTGTGCTTATACCAAAGACTATAGAATACCCTTAAAGGGACTTATACCAACATCTTCCTAGAGCACTGGTCCTAAGAAAGGGGTCTGCCAAAATAATAAACTAATTTCTGTGAAAATAGCAATGTGTTTAAACAAAAGTGAAGCAAAGGTAAATTCAATTCATTTGAAACAAAACGCCCACATTAAATGATAAAAATAAAACAATGAACAAGTATATCATTCATCAATAAATTATGATTAAAATGGCTTTGCAATGTAAGCATCATATGTAAAATGGTACTATATGCATGTTATTTTAACATTCAGTTGTATGCAATATGAAACAGTGGTCTTTGTCCTGAAAAAGGCAAAAGACCCCTGATTCAGAAGTAGAAAAAAACTCTGGTGAAGCACTTGACAGTATTTTGGAAAGCCATTCAGCACCTAAGTACAAAAACAAGAAATGAATATTTAATAATGTACATGTGAGAGTTTAGGGATTCTGCTCCTCTGACTTATAACTCCATACATTACATTGTGATCATATAGCAAATGTTATCTTTTCAAACTCCACAACATGAAAATATAAGCTAATTTCCAAAGTGAGAACTTTTTCTGCATTAAGTAACAAGATTGTTTTTTTTTTTGTTTTTTTCAATAAAAAATATTTTATTGTGTGCATGCCATCCAGCTGATGACTACTATTACTACTATTACTATTATGAGGAAGACGATACAATTCATTTACTGTTATATATATATATATATATATACTGTTAGATATCTTTCATTATTCTTACTATTTAGATATATTTCCCAAACATAAAAAAAAATCAATCAATCAATCCTGGAACAAACAAAACATTCCTTAAAACATAAACTCTATGAAATTGAGGACACTATAGCAAAAATATTTGCCAAATATTAAAGTGTCAGTATTAACAGAAACATTCAAATATTGCATTATTGCATTTTATAAAAAATGAAGTAAATGTACTCAACGTGTCAAGCTACTTTAACACAATGAAAAAGAAAAGCCAACCACTTTTTTTTTTAATCATTTTTTGTTTTTAGTCTAACACAAGTGTGAGATCATGGTCAGGTCAGATTAAACATCACGAGGCACTTGATATTTCTGTTTAGTGTATTCCTCTGTGTTACAGGACAAAATAGAGCAATCTTAAATCATAATCATTTTAAATATGATTAAAACATGCGTTATGTCATTTTCAAACTCATTCTTGATTAGTACTAAGTTTGTGCACCGAACAATCATAGCAACTGCGACTCCCCAAAAAAGTTAAACAACAGTTAAAATGTTAAATGAACAGTACATAAACCTGAAAAGAAACGCGAAGAAAAATCACAGCAGTACTTGTTAGTTTAACAAAGTTTAAGCTCTAGTAATTATGACACTACTTTTGAACCTATACTTAATTGTTAAACTTAAAAAAAAAAAACATACTCGCTTAAACTCATCAAGATATGCAAAGTACAGTGTATTTGACATTCATGACCATTTCCCTCACTGCAGTACTACGCTTTAAGACTTGAACACATTTGCAATTACTCAGATTTGATTCCGTGTATGTGGCAAACAAAACGTGAACAAATTAATTCAATGCGAATGACATTTTCACTTGGAATTTTTGTTGCTCTAATAAATATTCATAAAAACAAATTAAAATGTGCTCATTTAAGACTCATAAACACAAATCTAAGGTAAACTATTCCATTGCTGGTACCTTTCATTTTACTAACATGTATTTTTTAATTAGAAATTAGTGAGGTGTACTTAATTGTCTTCTAATTTAAAAAACGAGTCCCTCGTTATCCTCTGTACAAAGTTAAATAGCAAGAAAATTTACTTGGTACCACTACACAAATGACTCTTCATAGGCCAAAATATACAGAAAAATTTACACAACATTTGTGTGATATCTGCAGTTAAGACAAACCACGACAGCTGCATCGGTTTAGGCAAATAGGATTACTTTATGAGATGATTGCGAGTTATTCGCTATGTGGGCAATGCCAGATTTCCATGTCCGTAAAATAAAAGCTCTGGACTTTGCTGCAATAGCAAATCATATTCTTGAAATACTTGGACATGCAATGCCTGTGGAGATCTGGAAATATACTGTAGTGTTGCAAGGGATCTGCAATCTTTCAATACTACACGTAACCTTTGCAAAAAAGAAAAAAAAATTGTCCAAATGAGCAAGAAATGTAAACGAAAACTACCCCGGTTTAGGGTTGAACTTTCTCTTGTTCAACTAGTGCAAGCTATAAACCTCCCTCTCTTCCTGGTTCCTCACTGTTGAGCGCACTGGCCTGGTTGCTCCTTCTGAGGGCTGTCCAATGTGCTCTCATTCTTCTGCTCCATTGCCACCTACAGGACAACAGAAGCAAGTGCGAGTGAGTACTTGAGTAGTAGCAAATGTTTGCCACAAGGAGGCAGTCACTTACAACAAAAGAAAGTTGGGACTAAGAATTTAGTGCAAACAGAACAGCCTCATCTCAAGCATCACCTGTTTCCACATGCTCATCCCAATTCAATCTGCCCATGACTGACCTCACCGGGGTTCAGACACCTGCTGCCACTGTCCTGCCCCACAGCTATGCTGCATTTATCATATACAGCAAGCTGCTTCATCAGCAGGTTTCTCTGTCATTCCTATACTAAGGTTGCAGGCAGAGTTTTACATCTTGTTCCTGCCGCCCTGCTGTTATTTGCGCACCTCTGCTCAGTGATGAATCACTCCCTGTGGCTGCTGAACAGTAATGGGAACAGATGTTTGTAGAAAACAGCTCCAGCCACCTTAATGACATGTTTGGAATGCAGTAGGGAAAACAAGCTATGGCAGCTGACACAGCGGGTTGCTTGAGTGTGACAACTTGTCTTTCAGTGGCTTTGTCACAGGGTCCATGACATTTAGCTCAGACCCGCCCCGAAGGGTTTGAAAATCACCACTAAATAAACTAATTAAATTACCTGTTTTCTAAAGTGTAATTTTTAGGGTGAGGACAAATGTATAACATATAACACAAGATAAAGGTAGCTATAACCATCGCGCTAACACATATTTAGGGGACAGTGGGGTAAGGTGTGTCAGTGGGTATGATGTGTCAACCCTTAATCTTGCAAACTGTACATAATGTTTTTTATTTGACCACATATAGTATTTAGTAAGCACCCATCATATACATTTTCTTGATTGAGCACATGAGAAAAGTGATATTATGCAAAAAATATGTATACTATAGTTCTATATAATAATTTTTGTTTTTTTTTTTGTTTTGTTTTTTTGTTTTTTTGTTTTTATGGTCCTGTCACACACTTTCAGTTTTACCTCATTCCTCCTTGCCTGGAGGACAACTTAAAGTAAAAGGTGGCACAGCTACTTCACCTTCCCCTCACACACAGACAGATTACCTGATAGGAGTAATGTGATCTGTAGGTGATCCATTTCTTCAAGTCAGTTCTGTCCCCCACGGACAGAGAGCGAACGGTGGCTTTGGATGCAGAAGCAGAGGGCATGTCAAACTCAACCTCCACCAGGCACTCAAACTTAGCAGGCACCTCCCAATCTGAACCCAGCTCCAAATGACAGAAGAATGTATGAGGATGTCCCAGTGCTACAAAAAAAAAAAAAAACATTCACAGCCATATTAATGTAATGTGTGCAATATTAAAGCAATTTATTAATTAATGCAAATCACTTGAGGACCTTTTAGATGAAGTAAACCACTGGACCTGAGCTGCATAGATATGTTTTAGGGATGCACCGACACTGAGCTCCTGTACTCGTACTACCTAGGACAGATCCTTGTGGCACTCCATATTTTACTGGTGATAATTGAGATTACTCCCAATTTAAATGAACAAGGTGGTAGCTATCGTACAGGTATGATCTAAACCATCTTAAATCCTGCCCTTGAATACCTGTATAGTTTTGTAATCGATCTATGAGTATATCATGATCTATAGTATCAAACGCAGCACTGTGTCTAACGCAGCAGGATGTCTACTACGAAGTATATGTATGCAATGAATATAATGCTAAACATTCAGTATTAACGCCTGTATAGCTGATGTGCGCGAGCTGATAAGCAAAGTATGCTGAGTGTATTGAGCGCGCGGCGGCGCAGATGCGCCAGCTTGTCGAGTGAATATACCTTTCTCACAAACATTGCTGGAAAGCTTGTAGTTCGGTCGGATATGTCAAAAACAAGTAAAACAATGCACAAGTTACTTAACGGTAGTTAAGAGAGAGAAAGAGCGCACGCGCGCACTTCTGTAGCACACGCATCATTTGGATTAAAACTAAATCATAAAAATAAGACCATTTATAGGGGCATTCACTATAAACAACATTTATTTTCAATCTTAGGCATACACGACTTTCAGGCGAAAGTGAATCTAGCCTCTACGACTTGTCCCTCTCATTCTGCACCAGTACAAATACGTGCACGCGTTGCGCGCGTTTTGCTTGCTTGAGTGTTTCTGCATTATATGGCTTTGGAAAATAAATCGCAGCACGTTTCAGACGAAAAAAACGCGACTTCTATTTCTGAAAATATCACAGTTAGGAGATTTATAATGAGTGGTTCCCTGCATTATTACAGCAAAGCGCGTGATTACAGTACTAAGCTGCTGCAATGGAGCAG